AGCAAACGATTTGAATGAACATTTCCCCAAAGAATAGAACCCAGTGGTCAACAACACATGAAAAGAAGCTTAACAACCATCATTAGCCGTAAGGGAAATACAAATTAAAAATGAGACTTCACACTCACTAGGACAGCTATGAGGACAGAAAATAACAGGTACTGGAAAGAATATGGAGAAACTGGAACCCTTATACATTGCTGGTGGGCATGAATTGGGCTGGGCTGGGAAACAGTTTGTCATTCCTCAAAAGGGTCAGGTTGCCATCTGACCCTGCAATTCCACTAACACAATCTCAATAGAACTGAAAATCTCATTATACACACACACACAGCCATGTACACAAATGTTCACTGCAGCATTATTTTGTAATAGCTAACGTGGAAAGAACCCACATTTTCATTCACTGAAGAGGACACAGTCATAAGTAAACTATTACCCATAAAAAGGAATTAAGTACTGCTTCATGCCATAGCACAAACGAACCTTGAAAATATTATGTGATAGAAGCTGGATACAAAAGGTCATGCCTTGAGGGATTCCATTTATACGAAATGTTAAGAATAGGCAAATCTGTGGGACAGAAAGTTAACAAATGCCAAGGCTTGTAGAGAGGACGGCAAGGAACTGCTGTGAGCGGATATTGGGTTTGCTTTTTGGTGATGCAGGTCTTCTGGAATGACAACTGTGGCGATGGTTATACAACTCAGTTGAGTATACTAAAAGTGAATGAGTTGTACTTGAAATTGAATCCACTGACTTGGTAATTTAAAAGAGTAAATTTATAGCATATGGATTTTAAAATATTATTTTAATATAATAAATATAAAATCAGTGACTTTAGTTTTTGTCAAAGCAACACTTGTGTGCACAGCAATAACAGAATATACATTTAAAGCTATTGAAAGAAATAAAAAGGGCCTAGATTTTATATTAAGCTAAAATATTTAAATATGAGATGTAATAAAAGTATTTGTAGGCATGCAAGATCTTAGAAAGTTTGCAATATGGGAACTGGTATTGAAAATGACTTGGGGTGAAGTACTTGTAATGCAGATACTTAAAATAGGGAGGACTAAATGAGACAGAAGAGTATGAGAAAATGAAATTACAAATTAAGATGTTATATATTTATTTGTTTATATTAAAATATTTTATTTTTTTTGTGTATGGAAAAACAGGTGTAGGCCAGAGGTGTGGTATCTGAGAGGATTCACCAGAGACAGAGAGGGGAGCAGAATAGGCAGATCCACTGAAATACACTGTTGAGAGGAGCAGTGGACAAAACAGGAGAGGTCAGCTGCGCCTCCTGGAAGGGGATTGCATTTGAACTCAGACCACCGGTGGACCAGGCCATTGATGTGGTAGCAGTAAATCTTAACCCTTAGACCACCAGACAGGGCCAGATATTAGTTACATTTAAATTGTCTGAAGTCATTGCTTTAAAGTCAAATATAATAGATAATAGCTAGTAAATATCAACTCCTAGCTTTAAGTAGGTAAAAGAAACACATAAAGCACAAGCACACACAAAGCCTGTTATCATTATCAGCTAAATGTTAGCCAAAAGAAAGCTGAAATAGCTTTGTAACAGTAGAAAAGATAAAATTTAAGACACAAATAATATGAGGAATGGAAAATTTTATTTCATGTGATAAAAGATCCAATTCCCAGAAAACTGGACAGTCACGTGTGAAAGAATGAAACCACTATCTTACCCTATATAAACATATTAATTCAGGGCCCTCCCTGGTGGCGCAGTGGGTTAAAAGAACAGTACTAAGAAGCTAAAGCCACTTCCGCATGAGTTTGATTCCCACTTGCCCAGGAGGTGATCCACATGGTGTGGCAGACCTCCTGACCCGCCAGCTGCTCCCCTCAGTAGTGTACTTCGTCGATCTGCCTGTTCTGCTCCCTGCTCTGTCTCTGGTGAATCCTATCACCCTCCACATCTCTGGCCTGTACTACAGTTCTGTATGAATAAATAAATAAATCTTTAAACTATATATATTATATATATGTGTGTGTGTATATACATATATATATATGTATTAACTCAAAATGGATTAAAGACCTGAATGTAAGACTTGAAATCATAAAATTCCTAGAAGAAAACATAGGTGGTAAGTTCTTTGATAGCAAGTGGCAATCATTTGATTTGATATGAAAAGTAAAGGCAACAAAAGCAAAAATAAACCAACAGGTATATGTCAAACTAAAAAGCTTTGACACCAAAGGAAAACATCCACAAAATAAAAAAAAGAGTCAAGTAAGTGGGAGAAAATTATTTGCAAATCATGTGTCTGATTAGGGGCCAATATCCAAAATATTTTAAAGAATTCCTACAACTCAACAACAACAGTAAAAAAAACCAAACCCCGATCATATGATTAAAAGATGGGCAAAGGATCTGAAGGGACACTTTTCTAAAGAAGACACATTATGCCCAATAGGCACGTAAAAGGTGCTCAGCACTAATCACTGGGGAAGTATAAATAAAAAACACAATGTGATCACCCCAAAGACCACAGAGTGGCTGTCTCCAATACAAGAAATAAATGCAGGCAAGTTTGTGGGACAAAGGGACCCTCACACCTTGTTGACAGGAATGCAAATTGGTGTAGCAATTATGGAGATCATTACAGAGTGTGTCAAAACTTACAAAATAGAACTACTGTATGACCCAGCAATTCTATTTCTGAGTATTTTTCCAAAAGAAATGAAGACACTTGCATGTTCACGGAAGCATTACTTACAGCAGGGAAACAAGACAGGGAAACAACCTAAGTGTGTAGTGATGAGTGAAGGAATAAAGAAAATGTGTATACATGTAGACACACACAATGGAATTTTACTCAGCCATTAAAAGAAAGGAATGATGGCACATCTTAAAATGTCTAGCAACAACAAATGTTGGTGAGGATGTGGAGAAAAAGGAACTCTCCTATACTGATGGTGGGAACGCAAACTAGTACAACCACTATGGAAAACTGTTTGGAGGTTTCTCAACCTGCTAAAAATGGAGCAATCCCACTCCTTGGTTTCTACCCAAAATACACAAAAACACGGATTCAAAAGGACACCTGCACCCCCGTGTTTATTGCTGCTTTACTTACAATAGGAAAGACATGGAATCAACCTAAATGCCCAAAAGTAGATGACTGGATTAAAAAGATGTGGTACATATACACAACGGAATATTACTCAGCAATCAAAAAAGATAAACTCATGCCTTTTGCAGCAACATGAATGGAGCTGGGAGGAATCATGTTTAGTGAAATAAGCCAGAAAGAAAAATACCAAACAGTTTCACTCATAGCAGGAGCATAAAGGACCAGGGGGGTAAAAAATAACAATGAACAACTATATACCAGAGAGATTTTATGGGGGTAGAGCGGAGAATGGGATAAAAAATGGGGTAAGCGGGAAGTGCACTGGACTATGGTGATGATACACAGGTGATTTGGTGATGGGAATCCCACAGTGATTACAACTAAGATGGCAAAAAGCACAAAATGATGTAAAATTAAACTATTAAAAAAAAAAAGAAGGAATAGCATCATTTATGGCAACATGCCTAGGTATCTTAAGGGCATTATACTAAGTGAAATAAGTCAGACAGACAGAGAAAGACAACTATGATATGATTTCACTTACATGTAGACTAAAACAAACAAAAACCGGACTCTATCTAAATCTGGGAACCCATTGGTGGCTGCCAGAGATTGGATGTGGTAGGAAAGATGTGGGGCCAAAATGAGTGAAGCTAGTTAAAAGGCACAAACTTCCAGTCATAAAGAAGCTGGCTCTGGGCGCGTAACATTCAACTAAAACAAGTGATGATCGTGGGAGTCAGAGTGATATTACCTGGGGTGGGAGGATGGGTGGGCAGGTTGTCAAGGTCTGAAGTTCTATCTGGCATGATGGCTTCTTAGATGCTTAAAATATTGGTGAAAGTGATGAGGACTTTACAGGAACAGAGGAGGAGTCTTTTCTGAACCAAGGATGCTACAATCTAACTATGTGCACTCTTCAAGGGTGACAAAGCAACAAGAATCAGTGTCTTGCTTCACCAGGCTATTTTTCGCCTCACACAACACACTCGATCCTCCTCACAGGGCTAATTCCGCCTTACCCTCTAGACCTGGTTCCCAGGACTCAGCCTCCATGGCATGTCCCGCACCCTCCTCTGCCTCTTGCCTGGTGTCCTGCGTTCAGCTGTGAAGACACAAAGCTGGCTCAGCCCTTTTCCATGCCACTGTGGCCATGTCGATGAGGCTGCTTTCTCTGAAAGCAAACCTGTCTAGGGCAGAGGAGGCTCCCTGGGCCTAGCGTGACGGGTTGCTGAAGCACCACCTTCACACCTCAGTGACCTGCTCTGCCAATCTTGACTACCATGCAAATCCTGACATGTTCCATTCCCCAGTTCAAGCTGGCTGTTTTGGGTAAGTCAGTGAGTTCTGCACCACAACTCTGTTCTTTCCCACATCCTGATCTGGACCTCCCTTCTTCTGCCTGGAAGTTGCTCCTCCAGTTCTTTCTCCATGCTACTTGCTGGAGGCTCTTCCCAAGTGTGTTTCAGGTCTTGTCACTCTAGAGTAAAGCCCTTCCATGGTTTCTGACTGCACTCAGCAGTCCAGAACTCTTAGCTCTTTACAAAGACACCCCTGGTGACCACAATGCTTCCTTCACCCACCAATCCCACATGCCAACACCAGGGACCCTCACTTAGGGAAGTCCTGAGCCCTGTGCCCAGGACAGGGGTCATGCCCTCCTCTAGTCTTTGGCATCAGAACCCAGCACAGTAGGCAGAAGAGGAAGTTTGTGTTCTTTCTACATATTTTGTAAGACATGATTTCTTGTGGCAGCTTTTGAATTAATGCTAATTTTGGAGGAGGCTTTGTGTTTTATCCTCTGACCTGTTGCACCCCACCCTGGAAAGCAGGAGTCTTAGGAGTCTTGGTGGGCTCAGTTCTCCTGGCTTCAGAGGCTTCACTCACCGTGTTGAAGTACTCGATGCCAGTGGCTTCAAATGCCATTGCCACAGCTTGGGTTGTGGCCACGCAGGCAACAGGGTGGCCGTTGCCAATGGACTTGCCCATGGTGACAATGTCTGGGATGAAGTCTTCCCCCTGCAGCTGGAAGGCCCAGAAGTGCTTGCCCGCTCGGCCAAAGCCCACTTGAATCTCGTCTGCCACAAAGAGCCCTCCGGCCCTGTGGATGTGCCTGTGTGGAGGACAGACAGCTGATTGAGAATGGCTGTGAGGGGATCAGCCTCAGAGTCTCGGGTTGAATCCTCACTCTGCCAATGGAAGGTGGCACCACTATTTTCTCAGGGGCAAACAGGTTAGGCTGAGTTTGGAATTTGGAACATAGGTTAGGAAGTCCCGTTCCAGTCCTGCTTTCCCTGGGGCAGCCCCTCCAACCTACTCACTTTGCCACTTCTGGGAAGTAGCCCGCAGGGGGAATGATCTGCCCGCCCACGCTGGGCAGAGACTCAGCGAAGAAGGCAGCAATCTGTGGATGAGATGGACAGATGGGATGTCGGGAACGCCATGGTGGGGGTGCTGAGTGGTAAGTGTTCTGCCAGTGCTGCCTCAGAACTGGTGCCAAGCAGGATGAGTCACTGCCATCACTGCGGCCCCTCTTCTGGCTCACATTGCATCTGAGGTCTGTGACTCAGTTTTCTTTCAGGTCTCAAACCAGATCTCACCACCTGGATCCCTGTGGACCCCTTATACTTAGCAGGCCCCAGGTGGGCTTAATGATTTCTCCCCCCATAAGTCCATTCCATCTTTGTCCTTCCATCTGGCAACATGCACCACTCCTGTCCCTTCTTTCTAGGACAGAAATCTGGCCCTGCATCCACCAGTTAGCACGGTATCAGACCCCGCTCTGTAACATATCTGCACCCCCCTCCCTTCACCCAACACAGATATTTCCACATCCAGCCTCAGCCACCATAGAGGCCATCCAGTCCTTCAGCCCATGCACCACTGCCTGCCAGGGCGATGCCTCTATGCAAACCGCTGATCACTGTCCCGCTGAAACTCTTCAAGGATCCTTTTCATTTATGGCTGTGTTCTGTCTTGGGGCTACTTCAGAGGCCACTATTGGCACAAGGGAAGCGTGATGAAGGATGATGGGGTGGGAAACGGCCCCTACACCTGCTGCCAGCAGAGCAGTCTTGTGTGAGGTTGGTGTAAGTGCTGCTGAAAAACTGCTTCATCTGACTTGGCTGACTTTACTACCCTTGGTGACCTGCCTGTTTGAGATATCCCAGTCATCACTCCTTCAGGGGGGTCTTTTAGGGGCCTCACACCAAGAGCTTATTGCCTTCCCTCTATTGACACAACTGCTGCTCTTGCAGGGCACACATGACACCTGTCTGCTGTCCCCGTCTCCTCTACATGCCCTGGGTCCAACCTCACATCACCTGTCTTCAGACTGACCCCAACTGAGTGCACCTTCTGGTCTTTATACCTCTTTCTGAAAACCCTTCAGAGGGCCCATGATCAGAGACCTCACCACAGCACCAGCACATAGGTCCTGCCTGCTGGGAAGTTCATGTCCTGCAAGCTCGGCCTGGCCCACAGGCAGCGGCTCCTCTCCTCGATGTGGTATGTCTTTCCTCTTGCACTCCCCATCCCACCCCACCCCACCCCACCTGAAGTGGCTAACTCCTACTCTCCTATGACTGAAACCAGGCAGCACCTCCTCCATAGCCATACCCATGCAGTCTGGGCCAGGGATCCCTGCCGTGCTCAGGACATAGCCCCACCTTGGCTTCCCAAGGAGAAGGGGCTGCCTAGCATTAGCATTGAGTGGCAACAGGAAAGTGAGAGTCGCTGTTTGCTGGACCAGACACATGCAGATGCAGTTACCTTCCTGCCCTTCTCCTGCGCACTGCTGACCATGCGTTTCACCTCGTTGGCATAGGCCATAGCTGGATTGGGGTGGTCTTCCCGGTAGGGGCCCCGGTAGGTATCTGGGAGAGGTGCCTGCAGGGAGCAATAGCACCTTGTCATTCGGGCTGGGGGCGGGCACCGACCTGCTGGGCTTGCTGTTCACTTGGGCAGTGCATACCACATGGACCCACTCCTTCTGGCCATCCAGGTCCCGGAACTTGTAGGGGCTGATGTCGATCAGGGAGCTCAGGTGACCATGATAAGCACTGGGGAGAAGAGTGGGGCTGGGTTCAGACCAGGGGCCACATATTCCCTGCCCCTCACCTCAGGAGTCACACTGGGAAGGCCAGCCTTTTTGATGAAGCTCCCAAGTCTGGGGGACTCAAGGTTGGAGGCTCCCATGACCAGGGCTGGCACTCACAGGGGCACTGCTGTCAGCAAAGCCTCCTGCAAGGCTGCTCAGGAGCCATGTAATGGTGGCTAGTCATTTACCCTCCCCGGGTCTGGTCTTTCCTTTATCCTTCGGGTTTGTAATGAATTTTTTAATTGAAGTAACAGTGGCTCGTTATTCCATTATATAGCTGTGTAGATTACTTATTATTATTTTATGCTTATTGCCAAAGAGTATAGTACCATGGTCATGATACAGTTGACCCCTTGAGCCAAGTTGTCTGAATTGTACTCGGCATATGCTCCAGCCCCTGGGCCTGGATCTTGCGCAGAGGAGATGGTCAGTATGTGGGAGCTACAGTGGGAAGAAATTTTTTTTTTTTATGATTTATTTATGCATACAAAAACTGGGGTACAGGCCAGAGGTGCAGGGGTTAAGATGATTCACCAGAGACAAGAGTAGGGAGCAGAATAGGCAGACTGACTGAAATACACTGCTGAGGGGAGCAGCAAGCAGGTCAAGAGAGGTCTACCAGGCCACATGGGTCACCCCCCTGGCTGGGGATCAAACTTGTGCTGCAGTGGCTGGGGCTAGCTTTATAGTGCTGTGCTTTAACTCACTGTGCCACCAGGGAGGGCCCAGGAACATATCAAAAAATGTGGTGGGACCAACACTCCCTCCCTTACAAAGCATTTCTGTTCCCAATATGCTACCCTTCCCCCCCCCCCCGCCACACCCCCAGAAGGCAGGTCCAGGGGAGAGAGACTCCTGGTGTGTGTGGGATGCCTCAGTGGCCGGTCTACTACCTCATGCTTTCCTTGGCAGTCAAAGCCCCTCTACCTCCTGTCCAGTGCATCCAAGGTCAGAGCCTCACTGATCCCCAACACGTGGGGGGTCCAGCCTTCTGGAGGAACCAAGTCAGTGAGGGGCACTTACTGGTCTAATACCACCACATCCCAGTGTCCTGTGTACCGGCGGGCCAGCCTCAGGGCCAGGTCATTGGCTTCCGATCTACAACACAGAAAGTGGGCACTGCTGGGATAGCCACCCAAGGAACTCCTCTCCTGGTTGCTGTTTCCCACAGAAAAACCCAAAAGGAAGGAGCTTTTCTAGAAGTAAGAATGTTCTCTGGAGTCTATTCGTTAGTCATTCAAATCCATGCAGTATTTATTAAATACCTCCTCTTGCTAGGATCTGGGGCAAGCACAGTGAGTAAAACCAGCAGGACCTGACCCTCTAGCATGTGCCATAGAATCCAAAAAGACCAAGCAAAGAATGATCACTGAGCTCATGGGACCAAGGTGAGAAGAGAGGACCAGGCGAGTTCTGCTGTGGGGTGTCATAGGCTGAATTGTGCCCCCAAAATTCACACGTTGACATTCCAACCATCTAGTACCTCAGAATGGGTCTGTATTTGACGACAGAGTCTTCAAAGAGATGGAGTTAAAATGGGCCCTAACCCAATCATACTGATGTCCTGATAACAAGGGAAGATTTGGGCACAGAAAAAGACACCAGGGTGCCCATCACTGAGGAAAGACTGTATGGAGACACAATAAAAAGTTGGCCACCTGTAAACCAAGGAGAGAGTCCACGAAGAAAACAAACCAGCGCACACCTTGTCCATCCAGTCTCCAGAACTATGAGGAAATACATTTCTGTTGTTTGACCCCTCAATATGTGATATTTGCTTGGTAGCCCAAAAAGAATGCTGTGAGGAGGCAACACCTATCCTGAGCCCTGAGGTAAAGTTTCCAGGTAGTGAGGAGTGTTTGCAAAGGCCCCGTTAGGGGGAAAGAACTCTGGTGCTTAGGAACTGAGAGGACAAGGGAAGGACCAACAGAGGACAGGACAACACAGGAGGGGAAGTTGGGAGATGCGTGAGGCCAAGGCCAGAGGCACTCAGAAAGTGGCTGGGGTTTCTTGGCGGTGTCCTGCTCAGCATCTGTCTGTCCTTCCTTCCTCTTTCCCTGCTTCCTTCCTTCTAACCAGGAGTGCACAGGTCTCAGCAGCTAAGATCAGAAAGCTTTTCCTGAGAGAGTGATAACTGCCAATACTGCAGAGACAGAGGAAGACAAAGGCAGTAAAGAGGCCCTTGGCTTTGGCACGATGGATGTCACTGGACTCCACGGAGTAAAGGCGGTGGTGTAAGGTAGCAACTGTCCCTCCCTCCACTGCTAAAGGAGCTCCAACTCATGGACCTTGCCCTTGCTCTTGCCAGGGAGGTTCTAGCCCTGGCTTTGCCATCACCTGTGAGGATGACTGGCACCTAAAGGTGTGCATCCCTGCCCTTCTGACTCACTTGCCTGATTAAAGCGTTGCGATGATAAATAGATTCTGCACTTGAGGGGTAGGATTCTGGGTGATGGGCACTACCTCCCTCTGCAGTGCGAGTTTGCACCTTCTTCCCCAGCTTCACTGGCTTCTTCTGGCTCCTCACATGTGCTGGTTGGCATGCCCAAGGACCTTTGTGCCGGCAGTTTTTTGTGGTGACCAAGCTGACAAGAACACTTCCCGTGGAGAAGGCTTCGCATTTAGTCTTGGTCCAGCACCATGTTTTCAAGGAAACCCTACTTGACCCTCACATGCTAGTCTCCCTACTGCTTCTGTCCTTCATTAGCCCCTATAATGACCCCTCCACCGGACCCCTCTTTGTAATCTTGTATTTCTTTAGAGAGGCAGCCCTCTCTAAATCACCTTCTGTTTCTGTTCCTTACTCCGCCAGCTGAGGGTAAGGATTTTTGGCTGTAGCCCCCAACCAGGTTAAAAAAGAAATAAAGCAACAGGCTGTCTCAGTAAGCCCCAACCTTCTTGGCAGGGAGTTAATGGCATTCCTTACTAAGAGACCTGGGGACTAGATGTGATAGAGTAAGCACAGGGTTCTACAGCAAGGTAGCACAGGCTAGCCCAGGAAGGCTGCCTCTCTAAAGTAAACACTCAATTGGCTACATTATACTATACCCACAATTTTCATCTCCCCTTTTTGCAATGGGGCTGGCTGCAGTCCACTTACCCAGAATTGAGGAAATAAAACACACAGAGCTTCTCCGGCAGAGTCTTGGACAGCCGCTGTGCATAATCCACGATGTTGTCATGTAGGAATCGGCTGTTGGTGTTGAGCTCTTGGTTCTGATCATGTGCTGCTTGGACCACGAGAGGGTGGCAGTGTCCAACTGGAAGAGGCCTCCATCACAGTCAGCTCTGCTCAGCCAGTCCCACCCTGCCTCCCCCTGGCCCCATCTGTAAACCTGGAGGGAGAAAGTGGAGGGGAAAGGGAATCTGAAAAAGGGGGTAGGGAAAAGAGATGCGGATTCTAGAAAGAGAGATCTAGAAAAGAGTTCCTGAGATTTGGGCAGATGGCAAAAGCTCTCTGGTAGAAATCCTAGCTAGAAAACCCATTTTTTAAAGGAAGCTTCTTGAGGCCTTCCTCTTGACAGAAACAGGAGGGAGGGAGAGGAGAGGAGGTATGGCATGGGATTTGGGGTACAGAATGCTTGTTAACAGGCTTTACTTTACTACTCAGGGATGCTAGAAGTTATCGTTAATCTCACTGGCCTACCTAATGACCGGGTATGATAATAATGGCTAACATTTATTGAGTCATTGTATGCCAAGCACATTCAAAGTCAGATACACAAATTAACTCCCTTGATGCTCCAAACTACCTTGAAGTGCATATTTAGTATTATATCTGTTTTGCAAATGCACAGAGAATTAAATATTAAATAACTTGCCCAAGATCATAAAGTCCCCAAGGTGGAGGTTTTGGGGCAGGGATATAAATGTAGCCAGTCTGGGATTAGAGTTCCTGCTTTTAACCTCCAATTGCCTGCTAAGTCATGAAATTCCTTTTCTTACTCTCTGGTGGGGCCATCAGGGTTCCTGCTTTAGTTCCTTTGTCTGGCACACAAGATGGCACTGGGGCTGAAGTCTTGCCTTGACTTCTAGCACTTGCCTAGGGTCCTGCTCTGTTGCTGGTCATGGCTGGGAACTGGACCTCAGGTTTCCGACTCCCACTCAATTTTTTGACTCCTACCCCATTTAGCATAGTTACCACTTGGAAACGTCTAATGCTACTACTGAAAGACTGGGCCTCTTCTGCACACAGATGCTGGTTCAGCCCCACCCGAGCTATCTGCACAGATCTGCAAGCTAAGGATCACCCTTGGAACAGATTCAGTCTTGGGGCTCTTCTCCTGCTCCACCAGAATGGGACGATACTGACCGTGAGCCACATTGTTGATGCAATCGATGTATTCTGTCCCCTGTTCGTCATACATGTACTGCCCTTGGCCCCGGACAATCTTAAGAGGATCCTCAGGAAAAAAGAGTCTGCAGGAAGAGCTGTGGGGACAGGCAAGGAGTATATAGACACAACTGAAGCCCTGAAGGGAGAAAGCCTCCCTTACCCCTCTGGAAGGGACACAAGCTTGAAGAGCAAGAGCTTCCCTGCCTCATCCTCCCCGTCCACCGGGTTAAGAGAACTGCTAAAATGTAAGCAATTTTAAGTCTCCGTAGGCTGATTTCCACATAGGTCCCTTTGGTGGGGTTGGGGGGAGGAAGGCAAGGTGACCAAGCCAGACCCCACTGGCTTGGGGCTTCCTAAGGCGGTGTTTCTTTGCTGGCACGGACGTGAGAGAGGTGACCCCTACTAGCCGGGGACTTTCAGCCGTCTGGGGCCAGCTGCTGCCTCCCTCGTCCCTTGTCCTATGGAAGCTCTCCTCACAGGTCCAGGCTGGACTTTCTCTGAGGTTGCCTGTGAAACGACTCCCCACTCCACCCAGACTTCCAGTCACTCTCGGGCCAAGTCCAGGTCTTGCTGGCGTGTCGCCACTGGGCGAGGTGCTCCCGAGCGCGGGTGCAAAGGCTGCCGAGGGCCCGGAAACAGTTTCCCTCGAGTAGCGTGGCGGCCCAGAGAGGACGCGCGGGGGCGGCCGCCCGGCTGACTAGCTCTCTGCCGGGCCGGCGCGGGGGCGGCGGGGAGCCCCGGCCAAGGAGGTCGGGCGGGGCTGGAGTTGGCGGGCTCCGCGCTGGCCCTGCGTGGGGGCGCCGCCAGCCACTGTCTCGGTACCTGAGCAGCCGCTGCCTCAGGGCCAGAGTCTCGGCCTTGGCGCGCCGATCCGCGGCCATGGTGTCTGGCGGTGGCGCGGGGAACTCCGGCGAGAGCGCTCCCGCGCGGCCTCGGCCTCCC